ACAGAGTGAGACTCCAACTCAAAAAAAAAAAAAAAAGTGAAAAACAAAAAAGATCTAAGGGATTTAAAATCTTAATATTACCCTCAAAAACCATTTTGTCAACTCACTTGTCAAAGGGCTTTTTCTCAGCCACAATAACTGTCTTCATTCCAAGTAAATTTGGGGCATGATAAAACGGAAACTCTCTCATGTGCCTCATTTCAGTGCATTTGACACATTCCAGTGCATAAGGGAGAGTGTGTCGCTTCATGTGCAAATGCAGGCCCTACTTCAATATTCCCCTCCACTCTGCTCTCAGCTTTTGACCTGTCACTCCCAGCAGGGACCAGGGAAGCCAAACAAATCCCTCAGAGTGAAAGCTTAAGCAACAACCACTATCTGCCTAGGAGTGAATGCCCCACAAATTTTATGGTTAGGTAGCTCTCTTCCTTCACCCTAATCCCAGTTCTCCCTTCTATTATCTTCTCATCTGTTTTAATTTATCCCTTTCACTTAGCCTAACAGTCAGCCAGTCCCAAATGCCAAAAAAACAAAAATGCACTTTGTTCAGAGTTAAACTCCCCCGTAATAGTATAGTAGTTCCCCCTTTTCCACTAGGGTTACGCTCCAAGGTCTCCAAGATGTCTGAACCCTCCAATAGTACTGAAACCTTTATATACTATTTTTTTCTATAGGTACATATCTATGGTAAAGTTTTACTTATAAATTAGGTATAGTAAGATATTAACAATAATATAATAAAATAGAACAATTATGACAATATACTGCAATAAAAGTTATCACGCACTGTGGCTGTATAACTTCTGCAGTTTGAGGTACGACAGCAAAACTAGCACACATTTTTTTTTCTTCACAATTTCACAGACAGAAGATCCACTGTCATTGTAGATTTTAGCAACCTCAGTACACAATTTTTCTCTCTCTCCTTAAGTGGAGAATTTTCACCTTTTCACTTAAAGGAAGTCCCTCATGGCTTCTCTTTGACATATCTAAGATGTCAACATCTGGCATTTTGGGGCTGAAACTGGGGGGCACAGTTGAGTAGGTCTGCCCAATTTAACCTGCCCTGCTTGTCTTTGGTTTTTGTTTTTCTGGGTTTTTTTTTAACCTCTATTATGTAGCTATAAGCCACTTCACTAAATGTTTTAACTCACCCTCACTGGCTTCCTACAGATAACATTCCCCCCCTTTTTTTGTGGGGGTGGAATCTCACTCTTTGTCACCCAGGCTGGAGTGCAGTAGCATGCTCACGGCCACCATAGCCTCAACCTGCTGAGCTCAGGCAATCCTTCCACCTCAGCCTTCCAAATAACTAGAACTACAGACACTCGCCACCATGCCCAGCTAATTTTTTGATTTATTATAGAGACGAGGGTTCATCAAGTTGCCCAGGCTGGTCTCGAACCCCTGGGCTCAGGCAATCCTCTCCTCTCAGTCTCCCAAAGTGCTGGGACTACAGGCTGGCTCAGGTAATCCTCTCGTCTGGGTCTAGCAAAGTGCTGAGGCTACAGGCTGAGTCACCACACCCACCTAGATAACATTTCTGACATACCTGTCACCATGGTAAAGGTTGCTTAAGATGTTTTTCAGGAACTTGTGTGCAGTTCACCAGTTGAGACTGGGCCTGTGCAAATGCCTGAGAGGTGGTCTTTTTACATCAGAAGGCCAAAAATAATGTCAGTGCCCCCATTTTCTAAACATGGATCCTATGGATAGCCATGAACGCTCACTGTGCCAGAGAGGGCTAATATGAAACCCTGAATAAGGGGGTAATACTACAGTCTATGTTTACTATCTCCAGTATTCATATCTCAATGACTCCTGGGCTAATCTGGATTCCTTTTAAGCATTTTACCAAAAACTATGCTAAGTTCAACAATGACCTTATAGCTTTCAAATCCCAGTACATTTCCTATCTTATTTTTCTTGAAGACTGTAGTTTTTAAAATTCCATCTTTGAAATTATTCCCTCCTTTGACTTCTACGCTTGTTTTCTTCTTTCTCCTGGTGTTCTCTCTCTGTTCCTACTCCTACTGCCTGCCCTTGAACACTGAACAAGGCTCCTCCATCAGCCTCTATATCCTCATGCCCCATGTGAGATGACACCCACACCCAGTGCTACGGTCGTGACTTCCCCAAATCATTATCTGTAGTTTTCACTATCTCAAATTCCAGGTTTGCAAATCCAAATGTCTAACAATATGCCCAAATAGACAACCTCCCCTTAAAAATCTGTTCCTTTTCTTGTATTCCTTACTTTAATTAATAGCACTGTGCACCCATGTAACCAATGTTAGAATCCAGATTTTCATTCCAGATTCTTCCTTCTCACTCAATGCCTACAAGCCCAACTGTTCTGTAAGTCCTCCTGTTCTAAGTTCTTCATATTTTTGCTCTTTTCTTTTTCCTCCCATCATTTACTCATTGCTTTGTCCTTCATATTTTAAGTAATAACTCCCAAAATAAGAAAATGCGGAAGTTATTTTTCCTACCTATCAGAAGACAACCACTGTATCAACAGTAAAATTAATTTCTTACCTTTGCCCCCATATCCACAAGTTGGTTTATAAATGTCTTGGAATAATTTTCTGTTCCTTTGGATGACCATACTTCAACATAGGCCACTACATCTGAAAACAAGATATTAGCATGAAATACACATTTGTATTTCCAGCATCTGTTGCCCAGTAGATTTTCTTCTCTTGTTCTATTTACATTAAAAAGTAAATTTAAAATTCTTTCTACCAAAAGCCTATCTAAAAAAGCTTCAGTACAATTTATGGTTCTTAAAATTTTAAGCAAAGAACTTTACCCACACACGTCCCTGTTTATATTCCCAGCACTTGTTCCTCTTCCCAAATTCCTAAACTAGGCTTAATTTTTCTAGTGTATAATTCTGTTTTCTGTAAAGGAATAGAGTAAATATTTTAGACTTTGCAGCCCATATAGTATGTGCCATAACTACTCAAATTCGTGGTCCTAGCACAAAGGTAGCCATGAGCAATATGTTAATAAGCCAGTCTAACTGTGTTCCAATAAAACTTTATTCATGGACAAAGAAATCTGAATGTGATACAATTTTCATTTGTAATTCTTCTCCTTTTTTAACCACTTAAAAATGTAAAAAACATTCCTAGCTTGCAGTCCCTTAAAAAAAAAAATAAGGAAGCAGGCGAGATTTAGGCATAGTTAGTTTATGGACTTCTGTTCCAGTGGATATCATCTTCCCAAATCTGATGTTTAAAAGAATTTCCCAGATGTGCCATTAGTAAATAATTGTGAGCAAGATAAAGGAAAGCCAGGTTAATTTAACAAAATACGAACATTACAAAAATAGCCACATTTGATCAGAGTTTGTATAAAACCTTTGGTCTTTTCTTTTGGCTATGAGGTCATACACTTCTCTCAATACAAACCCCTTTTCTCCAAGGCCAAACTCTACAAGACATGGGTCCACTATTCCCATTCTCCTCAGCTCTTCCAGGTGCACAGCAAGTAGGACCCATGCAGTATTTTTACAGGTTGAAAAGAAGTCATTTTGGTTATATTAAAACAGACACTTTAAAAAAAACAAAAACGTAGAAACTTGTATTAAGCTTAGTTGGGCTAAATGCCGTTTGAATTTAAAAGGGAACAAGTTTCCCCTGCCTCCCCTTTCACTGTCCTTGGATCTAGTAACTGTTACCGGTACTGAAGGGAACAGCAACCATCTTCATTGAACCCTCTGACGACCAGGAGATACACACAGTAAGACCGCACATCCCTGGAAAGTCTCCACCACATCAAGATTAAAAAACAGGCTCTGCAAAAACTTTCTAAAACCCCCAAATGTATCAGTTCCCTTAAACTGCTTACTTTCATGGCTTTGTATTAATTTTATGTGCAATGTTTAATCAAGCCTTGTGAACCAGAACTCCTGGAACAAGCAAAAAAACTATAACCAACTAGAAAGTACGCAGCCCCAAGTGGTTCAAAGTAATTGAAATTTAGGAGAATGGCAGGATTGATGCAATCTAAGCCCAAGTTTGCGACAGTAACTGCTTGGGGTCTAAACACTGATTAAGAAAGAAACTGAGGAATGGTCTTAAGACATGCAATTATAATCCATCAGTAGCGGGGAAAAGATAAGAAACTGTATAAACACTGAATGAAAACCCTGCTTAAATGAACAGGTTTTGGGGGGACAACAGCCTGTTCCCTGATCGCATGGTTTCAGAATAAAACTCCTCCACCTTTCTGCCTCTCTATCTGACTCTGAGGGAAGCAGCCGAGTGTTGGATTGGGCCGTAACAGGATCACACACGAGTTAGGACAGCAGCTCAAGCCTAAAATCCTGTCAGCATCGATGTGGTGGGGAGAAGTACCCAAACTACCCATGCCTTAGTTTCCCCACGCGTACAAAGAGGTCCCACCGAGTTGTTGGAGTCCTTAGAAACCCGACACCCCCATACATGCCTTAGGCCATGCCTAAGGACACTCGACTTCCTCGGGAATAGGCCGCTCCCGTTACAGTGACAAAAGGCACAGACACCTGGGAGAGCCGGGGTCTCTGTCCCGAGGCCACCACTGCCACCCGCCCCTGCCTTCACCCGGCCATCACAGGTGATGGGGCCTCCCCCAAAGAGCTCGCACTGTCCGCCTCGCCACTTCCAGGTCTCGGGGGGGAGGGGCCCACCGGATCCCCGACCCGGGTCCGAGCTCCGTACCCCGACTTCCGCGAGGGGCGGGCTGCCCCGCACCAGGAGCCCCGCGGAGCCCCTCCTCGCACACACGGGGGCTTGGGGGCACAGCAGCCTGGGAAGGAGGGAGACAGGCGGTATAGGCAAGGCGGAGGACAGACAGGAGGGAGGAGGCGGCTGAGGGGCGGGGACAGGCGGCACGGGGAAGGGGCGAGCGAGGGCTGCTCCCACCGGCTCCCTCGAGTGCGCCCGCGGCCTGGCGTGCCCATCCCCAAACCCACCCACTGCCGGCGCAGGGCGGCTCTGCACGCCCAGGAGGAGCAGGACGTCGCCTCACCTTTCAGGATGGAGGCCCCTGGGGTTCCGGGGGCCGCCATGACGGGCCGCGGGAACCACACTCGGCGGGACGCGCGCAGCCCCGCCAGCCTACGAGCGGGCGGGACTGGGCATGCGCAGGGGAAGAGCACCGGCCTCTCCGCGGAGCTCCATTTGTCCGGGTTTTCTAAGCAGCCGAAGGGGCGGGAGGGGCGAGGCCGAGGCCACGCCCCCGCAGGAAGGCGGGGCAGGGGCTTTTCCTATGGGCGGGGCTCAGCCTCGCTGTCACTCTCGGGGCGGGTCCTTGACTCTTTCCGTCTTGGGAGTGACGAGGCCGGATGTCCCACAAGGCCAGAGGGTGACCCTTGTGTTTCCACAAGATGGCAGGATCTTTCTGGCGCCTCCCCCGGGCAGACGTGGGCGCAGTCGGTAAAGGGGAAAGGGAACAGTCACAGTCCCCGACTCGGTGGGACCCCAGCGTGGAACTTTGCTCAGAATTTCGACGCGGTGAAGGCGCTCTCAGCCCTGACACCATGCGGTCCCCGGGCTAGTGACACTTTGGCAGAGCCCCTGTGACAGCGCGCGCAACCACCGGCGGGCGGAGCCGCGGCCCTCCCCGCGCAGGGCGCGTGGGCGCAGGGCCAGGCCAGCCCCCTGGATGACCCGGACCCCCGAGACCTCAGACCTCCGCGGGGGACCCCAAGATTTCAGACCCCCACGGGAGGACACCAAGACCTCAGAGCTCCGCCGGGGATCCCGAGAACTCAGACCCCATAGGAGGACCCCCAGACGTCAGGCCTCCGCGGGGGACCCTGAGACCTCAGGCCCCCCACGAGAGGTCCCCCCCAATTTCAGACCTCCGCGAGGGACCCCGAGACCTCAGATGTGACCTCCGCGAAGGCACCTGAGAACTCGAACCCCATGCGATGGCCTCCGAGGACTCAGACCCCACCACACGACTCCGAGGCCTCAGCCCCCACGATAGAACCCCAAGATCTCAAATCCCAAGTCGCAGAGGTAATGAGACCTCGGATCCCGCGGGGGAACTCCGAGGCTTCAGACCCTTGGGGGGGCATCCCAAGACTCCCCGGAGCCCCACGGGGTGACCCAGACCTCAGGTTCAAGCAACCCCCAAGAGCGCCGATCCTCGGGAGCTACCCACTAGCCTGGCAGTCCCCCGGAGCTCTGCGGCCCGCAAATTCCAGAGCCCGGCCCTCGGCGGCCGCCCCGCCCCGCCCTGCAACTGCCCGGCGCTCCGGCGTCTTCAAACCTCCCGCCCGCGCAGCCAAGTCCCCGCCCCCCGGAGCCCGGAGCCCCGAGGAGCCCCGTCCCCGCCACCTGGGAGCACGCGGCTGGCTCTGCCCCTAGCCTCCACCTGTGTCGGCGCCCGAGTTCGCTTGGGCTTGAAGCCGGCGACCGGGCGGGTCATGCTGCTCTGTTGTAAACAGTTGTCCGTTTAGTCTCCCTGAAACATAAGTCAGTTGAGGAGCCCTGTTTTTAAAAACCGAGCCAGGTGTGCAAGAACTTTCTATCCCGGTGAGTTCAATACCATCTTTGTCTTCCATCACTGAGGACATACACCATCCCCAAACTGAAGGAACAACCCCACCTTGAAAGTCAAAGGGATTCCCTGCACTAGTCGTTATTAGTAATCATAATGGGTTCTGGTGTGGAAACTTGTTTCGGCCCCTAACAAGCTATGGATCCCGATGAATTCCTGAAGTGCCTTTTTGTCTGACCTGCTGGCCCTCAGGGGAATTCTTCTTTCTTTCTTTTCTTTTGTAAAAGCCGCTTAATTGATACATAATTCACATATTATACCGTTTACCTATTTAAAATGTATACTATAATGATTTTTGGAATGTTCACCGAGCTGTATAGTTGTCACCACAATCGATTTTAGGACATTTCATCATCCAATAAAGAAACTCTATAAACATAAGTAGTCATTCCCCATTTCTCTCTACTCCCCCTCTTCCAACCCGTCTCCTTTCTACTCTAAGGCCCCGGGCAATCACTTGAGCAGTTTCTCTTTCTATACACTTGCCTATTCTGGACTTTTTTTTTTTTTTTTTTTTTACTCCTATCTGTGATTGTGTATCCTTTGATCCACATCTCCCCCTCTTTCTCTCCCCCTCACCACCCACACACACAACCACTCAACCCTCTGATAACCACCATTCCACTCTCTCTTGTGAGATCAGCTTTTTAGATTCTGTACATGAGTGGGATTATGCAGTATTTGTCTTTCTGTACCCAGCTTATTTCACTCAGCATAATGTATTCTAGGCTCATCCATATTAACACCTATGACTGGATTTCATTAATTCTTAAGGCTGTATATACACCACATTTCTTTATTCATTCATCTATTGATGGACATAGGTTAATTCTGTCTATTGTGAATAGTACTGCATTTACTGGGAGTGCAGACGTATTGATTACAGGTCCTTTAGATAATATTCAGAAGTGGGATTGCTGGATCATGTGGCAGTTTTATTTTTAATATTTAATATTCCATACTGTTTTCCATGGTGGCTGTATTATTTTACATTCCTGCCAACAGTGTGTAAGTGTTCCCATTTCTTCACATCCTCCCTAACACTTCTTTTTTGTTTTATTGATAATAGCCATTCTAATAGGTATGAGGTGATGTCTCATTGTCATTTTGATTTACATTCCATAATGATTAGTGATGTTGAACATTTTTTCATATACCTATTGGCTTTTTGTATGTCTTCTCTTAAGAAGTGTCTATTTAAGTTGATCTGACAGAATTCCAGACCAGCCTGGTACCCTATCCTCACATCCTCTTTCCTCTGTCCACATATGCCCCCGTCATCTCTGCTGAAAAAGCCTACCATGAACAGCTTTCTGTAGCAGAGATCACCAATACATGCTTGAAGCCAACCAGCCAGATGGTGAAATATGACCCTCTCCATGGTAAATGCATGGCTTGCTGCCTGTTGCACCATGGTGAGGCAGTTCCCAAAGATGTCAGTGCTGCCACTGCCACTATCAAGACCAAGTGCAGCATATAATTTGTAGATTAGTGCCCCACTGGCTTCAAGGTTGGCTTAATTATCAGCCTCACTGTGGTGCCTGGTGAAGACCTGGCCAAGGCACAGAGAGCTGAGTACGTGCCAAGCAATACCACAGTCATTGCTGAGGCCTGGACCACAAGTCTGACCCGAAGTATACCAAGTGTGTCTTTGTTCACTGATACATGGGTGAGGAGACGGAAGAAGGAGAGTTTTCTGAGGCCCATGAGGACGTGGCTTCCCTTGAGAAGGATTAGGAGAAGGTTGGTGTGGATGCTGTTGATGGAGAGGATGAGGAAGGAGAGGAATACGAATTCTGTTCCTTTCAACCCTACAGCATGTCATCTCCCAGAATTTCACTTCAACAATTGTTGACAGGCATTAAATCTTTCGGGTTAGATTGTTCTCACTCAGTGGTAATCATGTCTTTTTTATCACATCTCAAAGTAAAGGCTGTAAGATGTTTTAAAGTGTCTATGCAGGTCTTTTATCCATTTCTTTTTTTTTTCCCAGTATTTTCTCCTATTCTGAATGTTTGCTAATTTTTTTTTCTGTTGCCGTGCATAAGATTTTTAGTTTGATGTAATCCCAATTGTTCAATTTTGCTTTTGTTGCCTGTGCTTTTGTGATCATAACTAAAAAATCTTTTCCCATGCCCATATCCTGAAGTGTTTCCCTTGAGTTTTCTTCTAATAGTTTCATAATTTCTGGTCTTATATTTATGTCTTTAATCCATTTTGAGTTGATTTTTGTATATGGTGAGAGATAAGGGTCATTTCATTCTTCTTCAGGTGGAATACCACCATTTATTGAAAAGATGTTCCTTTTTCCAATGTGTGTTCTTAGCACCATTGTCGAATATCAGTTGGTTGTGAATGTATGGATTTATTTCTGAGCTCTCTGTTTTGTTCCATTGGTCTATTTGTCCATTTTTATGCCAGTACCATGCGGTTTTGGTTACTATAGTTTGAGGTTTGTTTTGAAGTAAGGTCAGATGATGCCTCTAGCTTTGTTCTTTTTGCTCAGGAGTGTTTTGGCTGTTCAGTGTCTGGTTCCATGTGAGTTTTAGGGGTGTTTTTCTATTTCTGTAAAGAATGTCATTTTGCTTTTGGTATTTTGATAGAGATTATCAAAATTTTTGAAATCTGTAGATCATTTTGCATATATTAATTCTTCCAATCCATGAGCATTGTCTATCTTTCCATTTTTAATGTTTTTTTTAAGTTGCTTAAGTATTTTTTTAAAGTTATTTTATATTTTAATATGCATACAGTAAAACTCATTCTTTTTGGTGTACTGTTTGATGAGTCTTGACAAATGCATACAGTTGAGTAACAACCACCAGGATCAAGATACAGAACAGTTCTATTAGCCTAAAAATGCTGTTCAGTCTCTTCTCCTACCTAAAACATTTGACAATTTCTTTCCATTTTCCATACCTATAGTTTTTCCTTTTCCAGAGAATCATATAAATGAAACATACAAAATATAGACTATTGATTGGGCTTCCTTCACCTAACATAATACATTCAGAATTTATTGACATAATTTTGTGTCTCAAGCTTGTTTCTTTTGAGGGCCAAGTGATATTCCAAAATATGGTTATACCACATTTTAAAAATCCATTTACCAGCTGAAGCACAGTTTGACTTGTATCCAAATTACATTATTATTAATAAAGTTACTATAAACACTGTGAACATTCATATGCAAGTTTTCGTGTGAAGACATATTTTTATTTCCCTTGGGATAAGACTGTGGGTCATACTGAAAATGTATGTTTAGCTTTATAACAAATTGCCAAACTGTGTTTCAAAATAGTTATACCATTTTGAATCTCACCAGTAATACATGACAATTCCAATTACTCTGCATTCTTGCCAAAATTTGTAATTGTCAACTTAATATTTTAAATAATTTTCGTCATTCTAATAAATAATATAATTGTATCTCATTGTGGTTTTAATTTATATTTTTCTAGTATCTG